TGCCGACAGCGTTCGAAGGCCATTGCGCGCGTTCAGGGGGGCACGATCCCTGTCAAGGAATACCATGCGGGCCACTCGCGCGCGACGGCCGCGCGCGCATGCCGAAATCCTTCCAAAACCTTCATCACCGACGCGTGGGCACGTAGCAGTAGTCGTAGTAGTAATAGCGGTAGTAGTAGGCGCCGCCGCAGCAGTAGACGCGGTGTACTAGCACTGGCACTAGTAGCAGTAGCCGCCGTGGTCGCCGCAATCGTAGTGGACGTATCGATAGTAGCAGTAGTGAAATCGTATTCGCAGAGGAGAAGTCGTAGTAATAGTAGTAGTAGTAGTAGTAGTAGTAGTAGTAGTAGTAGTAGTAGTAGTAGTAGTAGTGGTAGTGGTAGTAGTAGTAGTAGTAGTAGTAGTAGTAGTAGTAGTAGTAGTAGTAGTAGTAGTAGTAGTAGTAGTAGTAGTAGTAAGTAGTAGTAGTAGTAGTAGTAGTAGTAGTAGTAGTAGTAGTAGTAGTAGTAGTAGTAGTAGTAGTAGTAGTAGTAGTAGTAGTAGTAGTAGTCGTAGTCGTAGCAGTCGTAGTAGTCGTAGTCGTAGTAGTCGTGGTCGTAGTTATAGTAGCGGCAGTGGTAGCCGCAACACCAGCGCTAGTATTAGTAGTAGTAGTAGTAGCAGTAGTAGTAGTAGTAGTAGTAGTAGTAGTAGTAGTCGTAGTAGTCGTAGCTGTCGTGTCCGTAGCCGTGGTAGTAGTATTACCATTAGTAGTAGTAGTAGTAGTAGTAGTAGTAGTAGTAGTAGTAGTAGTAGTAGTAGTAGTAGTAGTAGTCGTAGTAATAGTGTTGGTGGCAGTCGTAGTAGGAGTAGTAGTAACAATTGTAGGTGGAATTGCAGTAGCAGTCGTCGTAGTCGCACTAGTAGTAGTAATCGTGGCCGTCGTAATTGTAGCAGTAGTAGTAGGAGTAGCAGTAGCAGTAGCAGTAGCAGTAGCAGTAGTAGTAGTAGTAGTAGTAGTAGTAGTAGTAGTAGTAGTAGTAGTAGTAGTTGTTGTAGTAGTAGTAGTAGTAGTAGTAGTAGTAGTAGTAGTAGTAGTAGTAGTAGTAGTAGTAGTGGTAGTCGCCGTCGTCGTAGTCGTAGTAGTAGTAGTAGTGGTAGTAGTAGTGAAAGTAGTAGCAGTGGTTGTAGTAGCAGCATCTCCCGGGGATCCTGTATTGATCTCTCAGGGATCCTGCAGGGATATCGCAGGGATCCTCCTTGGAACCCCAAGGGGCTTCGCAAGGATACTTCCGAGATCCTGTCAGAAGATCAGCAACCCTGAAGAATGTCCAAGGCAGTTGGGGCTGATAGTTCACGTGTCGGGATTGGCTGGGAATGACGGGAACCTTTTCCAGCGTAGCGATAATTTTTGTTTTTTTTGTTCCCCATTCATTTTGTGGTGTTTGGTCTTCGTTTTGAAGAGACAGCGCCCCGCGTTCCTCCTCCTCCTCCTCCCGCTGCCCCATCCCTCCTCCTCTCATCATCAGCGCTTCGTGGCCCCATAAGGGAGCTCCACCAAATGCCCCAGTGGGGATGGCCGCATGCGTCTCCCACGCCCAGGACAGCGCTTCGTGGCCCCATAACGAGTTCCACAGAAAGTTGCAGTGGGGTTGGCCGCATGCATTTCCCACGCCCAGGACAGCGCTTCGTGGGCCCATGGGGAGCTCCACCGAATGCCCCAGTGGGGGTGGCCGCATGCGTCTCCCACGCCCAGCACAGCGCTTCGTGGCCCTATAAGAGACTCCACCGAAGGCACTTGTGGAGGTGGCCGCATGCGTCTCCCACGCCCAGGACAGCGCTTCGTGGCCCCATCGGTAGCTCCACCGAAGGCCCCAGTGGGGGTGGCCGCATGCGCCCCCCAGGCGTAGGACAGCGCTTCGTGGCCCCATAGGCAGCTCCACCGAAGGCCCCAGTGGGGGGTGGCCGCATGCGTCTCCCACGTCCAGTACAGCGCTTCGTGGGCCCATGGGGAGCTCCACCGAAGGCCCCAGTGGGGGTGGCCGCATGCGTGTCCCACGCCCAGGACAACGTCTCGTGGCCCCATAGGGAGCTCCACCGAAGGCCCCAGTGGGGGTGGCCGCATGCGCCCCCCAGGCGTAGGACAGCGCTTCGTGGCCCCATAGGTAGCTCCACCGAAGGCCCCAGTGGGGGGTGGCCGCATGCGTCTCGCACGCCCAGTACAGCGCTTCGTGGCCCCATCAGGAACTCCACCGAGGGCCCCACTGGGGGTGGCCGCATGCGTGTTTCACGCCCAGGACAGCGCTTCGTGGCCCCACAGGGAGCTCCACCGAAGGCCCCAGTCGGGGTGGCCGCATGCGCCTCCCACGCCCAGGACAGCGCTTCGTGGGCCCATAGGGAGCTCCACCGAAGGCCCCAGTGGGGGGTGGCCGCATGCGTCTCCCACGCCCAGCACAGCGCTTCGTGGCCTCATAGGGAGCTCCACCGAAGGCCCCAGTCCGCATGCGTGTCCCACGCCCAGGACAGCGCTTCGTGGCCCCATAAGGAGCTCCACCGAAGGCCC